TAAAAAAAAAAATAATAAAAGGTATTAATATATTTAGCTAAATTTATTTAAATGATAGGTCACACTAACATATTTTATCTTAAATGGTTTTTTTTTTAAAACTTTCAATTTTTTATTATAACAAGACGCATTAAAAACTATTAATATATAGAAAGTTTATATAGTTTAAAAAATAATATTGACAAAAAATAATAGTTGCATTTTCTATAACATATTTTTAATATTTAAATATTACTTAAATTGTTTTATTCATTCTTATATTTACTTATTGATGATTTATAAAAGTAATTTTTTTTATAAATTTACTAATTTGTTTCCGTGTTTATTAATTTTCTTATTATCTACGATCGCTATTGCCATTCATTTATAAATAAAATAATAATTTGGAACCATCAAATCATTTTATTTTAATGTGCTCAGCCAGCTCTGCCACTGAGAGGTCGTTATAGGTTCGTCTAATACATGGCCGGCAACTATGATTACAAGTGAGCCAAGTAAGTACGCACTCGCACACACCCTTTTGAAACGAACAAGATTATTATTTACTGCGTGCCCTCACTCTCCAAAAAATGTACGGCAGCACGTTTAGAAAATTTCTCTACGTCAACAGGTTTTTGTATTATATACCACTTTTTGGTGTGAAGCCGCCAGATTTTCCTCCGCTCTTGATAATGAGTTAATCTCGGAGCGTTTAATTAAACTCGGCGGCACGCACTTAATAACAGCACTTGGCGCAGTTTTATTGTGGGCGGAAAAGCCGCCGACTCGTGCATTTGAGAGCTCAGCATTCTTCAAACGGGCGATGAAATTTTTAAGGAAATTGAGCTTTTAAGCCAAACGAGCATATATATATTTTAATTACTTATTTAAGTGCTCACGCGAGATTTTGTTTGCATGTATATATCTTTGAAATAAAAATCCAAAGACTTTTAAAGTCAGACGATCGAGTTAGGAAAAATATTTTGACAAGCGGGAGACAAACTCTTTCAAATATAGGTGGAAATCATTAGAGAATGCAGAGGGGAAACAATTATTTCTTTTTCCCAACCCCGACTGGTTTTCTGTCTCTCGTTAAAATGATATTCATTCCCAGCAAGCGACTGCGAGGAAGGAGTTTTTTAATTACGGATCGAGCCGAGCTAAGCCTCGGGGCTCTTGAGCGGTTCGGCACTCTGTCAGGCACTTCATAAAACGCCGAGATGAGCTTCAGAAATCTCACGCGATGCGCGCTCACAATAATTCAATTTCATCTCTCGCGCGATGGGGGGTTGCGCCGTTTTGACCGTCGTCGTCGTGTCCGCGCGCTTATTGAATTATCAATCCGGCAGCTTTTTTGACCCACATTATTTTTCTTTATATACAATCGGTGGACCGGTGCGCGCGCGAGAGCGAGGGTGCAGCCAAAACGACTTTTCTCTATTCCCAATTTCCACCCAAAGCCATTCACCGAGACAGACTCAATTTTGTCCACATCAATGCAGCTGGGCGGCTTTTCAATTTCCTCCACAAAACACGCCGCAAAAGATCTGCGGCTGACTCTCTTCTATTTATAATAAATGCAGCGAGGGAGGCCTATATTATTATAAGAGGGACACCGTCGAATATTATTTTCTTTTTGTGAATTTGGAAATTGTGCGCTCGCCGCGGAAGGAAGACGCGCGTTTCCAGCCATTCTCTTATACATTCTAACCCGATGAAAAGATTAAGACACGGTTTCGATCAATTAATTTTTAAAATATTACACACGCCCACGCGAGAGTGCGTTTCTCTTCCAAGTCGCTTGTTTTTGATTAAGTTGTGATCCCTCTCAGATCACGCATTTGACCTCTGCGGAAGTTCAGCGGTCCTTTTGAACTAAAATAAAATTATCATTTTTACACAACACAAAATTAACCACGCTTCATTGAAAATTACTTCATTAAAAAGTCTTCAAAACGACGATCTAATAAAATTCTCATTTTTTATTTAAAAAAAAGGAAGTGATAGAAAATGGGCATTGTGATCGTTTGAAGTTAAAAGAAAAAAAATGGGATTTTATTCAATAAAAAAGGCTCCCAGTTTTGGTTACCATTAGAAAAATATATATAACAAACAGCAAAATTAAAAAACTACTTTTTGAACAATAAATTTGATGGAAAATAAAGTTTGTTAAAAAAATTCTTTGGTGAGCAAACTTTTCTCAATTTTTATCCTCAATTCCGTGGATTTCAAAAAGTCTGTTTAAAGAAAAAGGATGCATTTAAAAAAGTTGTGGGAAAAGAGTGCAAGCGTGAATCATTTAATGGAGTCTTTGTAAAAGTCTGCCCTCTTCTCCTATATTGGTCATGGCAATGTTTTAAAATGGTTAAAAAGTGGGACTGCACGGATGACAGCAGCAGGAACTCGGGGAAAAAGTGTGGTGTCGACCTCGGCCGACCTTATGTCGCGCCTCTTTGACAAATCGGCAATAAAGCCGCTGATGGGCTCGGCGGCGCCAAAATGCACTCTGCGCGCGCGTTCTGCACTTCTCGGCTCGCTTTAATTTACGAGCTGCGTGCACTCACACTCTCGACGACGCCACCGAAATATGTTCCGCCGGGAGATAACATCACCCAAAGGGAAGAGCCGCTGATCCGAGAGATGCAACATCTCATCTCTCTCTCTGTGGCGCGCGAAAACAACGACACGCGCATAAAAAAGCGCCGGGCGTCCGACTGATCCGACTCATTCATTCCTTGCGTCACCGCGGCTCCACATACAATGGACGAAATTTATTGCTTTCATAGCGCCGAGTTCAGCCACTCAATTAAAAAGTCTTCTATTTTGCCGAGAGATTCGTAATCTTAAAACATGGAAGCACGGATAAATGCCAACAAAAATAAAGATATATTTTTCTATATGAGAGGACTTGACTGAAAAATAAACATTCTTTTCAAACGGCAACTTTTACGCCCCGAATTTTTTTAGGTAATACATCAGAAATAGTCAATTTTAAGCAAAAAACGTCAGAACCGTCCTTTCTTAAGGCTTTATATTTAAATTTTTTTATTAAAAAATTAAAACAAATTTAAATTGTATATTATTCAAGGAAAGTTAATGAATTGCAATTTACAAATTTTTAAGTTTTTTTATTTCAAAAGTTTATTCTTTTGTCATTTACGGCGTTGCGGCTTTATTGACATCAAATGCTGTGTACCAAAAGGACCAAATTTTGATAACAAACCCAGTTATTAAACTATTTATGATAGTTCTACGTACCGAAACTTTTATAAAAAAAACTTGACAGTCTCTTGTTCGTAATATATACATATAATGCAAAGGTGCAGTTAAAACATTCAGTTTTTCTTCTGATGAAGCCTCAGAATTGAGGAAAATCGCAATCCAATATATGCCTTATTTATCCGGGGCTTCAATTTAATTTTTAATTTCTTGATACAAATCTTTTGAGACATTAAATAATTAGTTCAAATTAATTTCTCAAATAGAATGTCAAAAATTTGGCATGCATTTTCATTCTTTCAAGCCAATAAGTTTATCAATCACGGTTTCTGTAAATAAACGATATGTAAAACCATCTTTAAAAATTTAACCCTGCTGAAACGGCTTGCGTATTATATTATTTTGGATTCAAATACATTTCCAGAGATTCTTCCTTGTCACAATATTGAGCATAATTATACATAAAATAAATGATCCACCAAACCTTTTCACCAACGTAAATTTTTATTGATTGCACAAAGCTGATACAATTTTAATTTTTTTCTTTTCGAATATACATCAGACGAAAATGAAACAATTATTGTACCTAAAACGCTGAGGAAATATTTCAATTTTCAATAATAAAACGCAGCGAGATTCATCTTTCATTTTAAGGTAATTTACGAGCAAAGGCGCGCGCACTGATACATGTAATTATTGAGGATGAAAGGGTCACGCATAATTATACACGTCGCGCAACGAGATCAAAGCGTGCACACCCCGTTTGGACGTTAAAAGCTTTACGCCGACGACTGCTGCAGAAAAACTGGAAAACATTTAACCGTGCGGCTCTGCATAATACGAATTTTTTCATAACGATGCCACTCTCTTATATACTTGACTGTCGACAAGAGTAATTGCCCAGGTCGGCGGGCGAGCCAGCGGGATTCAAAGCTCGCCCTCGTCTTCCTCCCGTTTTTTTATACCTTTGTAATATGTCTCGACAACTACAGAGAGATTCGGGGGTGAGTTTGAAAACAATAAGCGCCGCTTGATGCTTCCTTTGAGGTCTCTGTTAAGCAACCCTCTCTCTATATAAATGCAACTTGATATTAGAATTTCGGTCCTGCCAGCAGCAGCGACTGAAAATTATACCTCCTGGACCAGCCGAGATTTATGGCCGAATTATTCAAATTCATAAACAACAGCAGCGAAGCATCCTCCCGCCGTAAATATAGAAAGGAAAAGCGTTTCTCTCTCCAGAGAGTTAGGTCGTTTCTCTCTTCCTGCTGAAAAATAATACTCCGGCGCAATGCGGCGCTGTTTACCATGACTTGCAGGTACACGCGGTGTTTGTGCTGCGATAAAACTGAATTGCTGCGCTTTCTGCGTTCAAAAAGAGAAGAACAAAGGATTAGCTACAGTGTGCGCTTTTCCGCAGATGCCAAGCAGCGCAGAGAATAATCCTTCTGGCGCCGCATTTCATCAAGCAAAACTCCTCTTTTACAAAGATCAAAACTATGCCATATCATAAGAATTTTGCTTATATTTAAATGATTTCAATTTAATTCAACTATATTTGAATGAAAATGCAATGTGGAAATAATTCTTAGAAAATTATCAGATCAGTCTGCTTTATTAAAAAAAAAACATTAATCGTTATCATTTTCACCTAATCCTTTAAAACTTTTTTCCAATGAAAAAGAATTTGTTCGTTTTTTAATTAATGTACATGAAAATAATTTACAATTAACAATCAGAATTTGCCTGATTAGATAAGGAGCTGCAAAACTTAAACAGCTAAATTAATTCATAATTTATTAAATTTTAACAAAATTAGTGATGAATTCAAATGGCAAAAGTTTGAGAAAATTTGATGTATGCGTGTAATAAATTATCTTTATTTTTATGAATCTGCATTTCGCACTAAAGTTTCCAAATCCACATACTACTTCATATTCAGCAACCACAAATTTCATGATTTAAAATTGCCAAGAAAATAGCACCACCTGTTGCACTCTCTGTGAGAGCATCGAATTTTGCTGCATGAATAAATATTTTCACTTTTCGTTTCGAAATGAATCAAACTGCGATGCATGTATGCTGTGATATATTTTCACTTGCACAAGCGTCCATCTTTATTGGCGTTAACTGTATCATATTTGTACAACACGATTTACATCTCAGAGGTTCAAAGTACAATGGTTATTTCGAGTCCTTGGCGGGGGCGCGCGGCAACGCTGCAGCAGCAGAGATTGGGGGTCACTTGTGGGGCTCCCCGCACACTTGATGGGGCAACTGGGGGGCGGCGGTCGATTGCGACCAACGAGTCACTTAATTGAGAGTGCAGACATTAAAATTAATCGGGGTCAGATTGAGAGAGAGATAGATAGAGCGAGAGAGAGGAAGTGTCTTTGAAGCGCAGAGGTTTGGTCGGGGGTGAGAGAGAGAGAGATGACTAGGGAGCGGCGGCGGCGGCTCAGCTTCGGGGCCGGCGGTGCTGGTGGTGGCCCGGCTGGGGCAGCAGCGGCTGCTTGATGGGGTGGTCGCCCTTGTTGTGCCTGTTGATGGCCTCGGTCAGGTTGAGGCCCCGCTTGAGGAAGCGGCCGCACCTTCGGGCGCGCTTGCCGTGCCGGCCGCGCACCAGCACCGTCTTCTCGCCCCGCATCGGCTGTCCCTGTGGATTCACCGCCAGCGAGTAGTTGAGGTTGGCCAGCGAGCGGTACCGGTTGAAGCCGTCCTCCATCACCTCCTGCCACTGACACCACTTGCCGTGCTTCTTTTTCGCGCCCACCAAGCGCCACCGTTTGTTGAAGCACAAGTAGCGCGCCGACCGCTCTGCAAAAATCGTCAGCTTGCCAAATCCCACCGACTCCAGCCGCAGCTCATCTGTAACAGAAGAAAATTGCACAAATTAACAAAATTAATTCATGCAACGTTTTAATATAATAACAAAAAACCATCAGTGAAATGAAAAGAAAGAAAGAATAATGAATAAATAATAAGGCAGCGGAAAATTGGTAGTTTTTGAAAGATTCAAAAGATTTTTTTTTGTTGTACAGCAGGAAAGTGAGTTGATTTGCAATGTTTTGAATTTAAAACCCAAATTTATTATAAAATCTGATTTTGTAAAAAATTGCTTATAAAATAATCTTTATTGTTTAATTGTTGAGTTTAAAAATTTTTAACTTTTTCTTACAACATTTGTTAATTTAGAAGAAAACATTACAATAAAATAAATTTCCATACTCAAAATAATTTCACAGCTCATAAATTCATGGAAGCAGTCCGCAGTTGAAATATTGTAAGGCAGAATATTATTTTTTTTCCCTTCTAAACAAAGACTAAAAACCCATTGAATAAAAGCTGATTTTAAATTCCATTAAAAAACACCAATTTTAGAGAATTGCTTTATTTTGAGCAGAATATATTTGCTCTTCAGATAAAAATTCACCCTGAGCATTGTGATTAAAGTTGTTTAATTGATCGCAGTATTTTACTTTGGGACATTGTTTTTAATTAGACCGAGCTAAATGTTCTTTATCGAAGATCTTCGTGGGATCTTATTTACATTTTGAACGCTTTAAAAAAGGAACTGAGGTCAGAAAATCCTTTTATGGAACACCATGACACGAAAGTAGGCCAATTGTTCAATATAAATAAACAATAAAACAAATTCCTCTTCCAAATAGAGAAAAAATTTGATTAGAAAATGAATCAAGCGGGATTAAAAAGCTTTTATAGCCTTTCCTAAATCCAGCACTCCCATACGGTTCACTTATCGCCCAATAAAGGAATATATCGGATCGAAATAATAACACGGCGTGTACGCAATAAAAAATGGAAATAATGGATGTCGGAGATGGGAGTGTGCCCCGTGCATAATACGGTGAGCTGACGAGATAAAAGCACGACCTGTGTGTGTCGGAGGAGCAGAACAAAAATCACTTCCTACACTCGCGCACGAGCCGAGGAAATTTATTCGTCTTTATATTATATTATTTTCTTTCCTCCTTTTTATACATTTTGAATTGTCACGCGTGTTCGAGTGGAAAGTAGACAATAATCGTATACGCACGACAAGGGCACAGAAGAAAAGAACAAGTGGGTGACAACACTATTGTGCTGCTTATTTTCTTTCAGTTTTATTATTTTATGAGAGAGCGAGAGAGAAAGAGATCTCGCGCGGGTGGGTCAAATTCGGCGCGTCTTTTTCCGCCTATCTTATTTATGATGGTCTCGGACAAAGAGAGAATCCGAATCAATGCACCGATTGGAATGCAAAGACAAACTTTGGGAGGAAACGGATTTTATCAGAATACATTTTTTTGACTACCGAAACGTTATTCTGGAGAGTGAGAGGCACTTAAAAGGGTTTCCACCCTCATTAATCTCTGACCTGTCGATTTAATAGGACGGAGGCGAGAAGAATTTTTTCCAAGATATAAATCAAAAGAAGAAATTATTCAGGAAAAATGTCGGTATATCAATCACGCTAGGGGAGTGATATATGATTTGAAGGGCGAGATTACAGGACCTTTAATTTATATTTAAAATTAGGGTTTTGGATGAAAAATACGAAACTCACTGAAGGACAAGCTGTTGGAGGAGAACACTTTGCCCTGGGGGGTCACTTGCAGCTCGCTGCTGCTGCAGTCGTTGTGCAAACGGACTGAGTGGACCATGCCGGGCACCGCGCCGCAAATCGCCACCTGCGAACGCAAACAAGCAAACTTTTCATAAATTAGGCGAATTTTCACAAATTTATTGGATTTGTGAGCGAGGTTTTAAACAAAAAGCATAAGAAGAAATAAATAAGCGACTTACCATCAAGAGACACAGGAACTTTGCTGAGACTGCAAGCTGTGGGATCCTGAAACACACAAAATCATTCGGAATTAGTTTTCATCTTTACAAAAAAAAAGCAATTTCCCGGTGTGAACTTTGAGAGACGCTTTTTATTGCTTTTAATTTATCTTATCAGTTTGTACGCAATTAAAAGCAGCAACACGTCTCGGCTGCAGAGGCCATCAATAATGTGTTTTTCATTTGTTTTCAATTGGAAAATCTCGCCAGAGCAGCAAAGAGTGCGCGTAATGGCGCATAATGATGGGTTGGGAGGTAAAAACGGAGCCGCTTCTTTCCACCGCGGCAATAACTCTAATCGGACAATGAGCTGCAGCATTATTTTTTTTTTCAATTCCAGACAGGAAAGCAGCAAGTTATTTGTTTGTACAATGAGCTGGGCTGTGGAAGAGACCACTCCATAAATAAATTGAAACTGATCGTTATCTCAAAAGAGGAATCTAAAACGCTTCCTTCTTTTTATATAAACACAAAATATAGAAGAAAATAAATCAGCCACTTCTTTCTTTCTCCCGCTTTTGTCTGTTTGCTCGACGCTAATGTATTATTAAGAATTTCTTCGGAGAAAAATATACTCTTCGGCGGCGGCCAGATCAAGACGTTTGCGATTTTACGCAAGAAGGGAGGCTGAGCTGCAAAAAGCGGCGAGAAAACAGGCAGCTCCCTGACAGCTACAAGACTCAACAGCTTGCGAACAAGCCTAACAATATCGTCGGCTTCAACAGGTGCCCATATTTTATTTATAACCCGCCGCTCCACGCGCTCAGCTCGCAAGGCTTTGCACAAATTAACTCGGCTGACAAATCAACTGCGCTGATAAGTAAAATATTACGTATTAATAAGCAGAACCTGCTCGCTCTGTAATTTGAATAAATTTTCCGACCAAATTATCTGCGGTCGCCGCAGCCACTTTGGCACAGTTAATGTTACAAAGTTGCTTTTTGTGCGCCCCAGTTAATTTATTCAATTGAGTTTGCGCGAGCAATTCAAAAATGAATATTCGCGTGGAGAGAGAACAGGTGGTTATTTCTCGCGGTCGTAAAATTGAGTATTATATTAGTGTATCATCATCATTTGAATGCAAATTTATTTGATTCAAGATTTCAATTTTTAGGAGGATGAATTAAATTTGGAAGGTGAAGAAAATTAGATAAAAATTTGATGTTTTCAATAAGAGAAATCTGAATTTTCTATAATCTTGGCGTGATTTATTTTTTATTTTTAAATAAAAGTTGGAAATTGAAAAAAGCACTTTCTCATTGTCGACCTTCACTCAAATTTTCCTTGTGTCAAATCTCCGCAGACGCATATGAGAGTGTGAGGTAATATTTATGTACATGGCCTCAATCTGGGCGGCTGGAGTGTCCGCTCTGTCATGGCTTGGTCGGTCGGTTGGTTCGGTGCACGCGTTTGGACAGATTTCGCCTTTCTGCATGAATTAATGATAATAGAGTTGTTCCAGCGGCGGCACCTTAAATTACAATATCGCCACATGCGGAGTTGGAAATAAAAAAAGCAGCAGCAGCAGGTTCACTCGCCGAGCCGACACTGCGTCCCACTCGATAATTAGGTTAATTAACACGCGGCGAGAGCAAATTTTAAGTGCACATAAACAAATTTTCGAGCGTCGTCTCGCGATAAAGATCTCGTTTCGAACTACGTTTGTAATGAAAGAGAGAGAATGGAATCTGAGAAAGGGAATCGGTGACGTTCAGCATCAATCAATTCAGCAGCGCGATCAGCTGACAAGAGTGCCGAGTGACGGCTTCAATGAATTCCATTCTCCTCTATCAGTTTCAATCAGGCAGGACATCAACACCTAATCGAGATTGAGTATATTTCTTTCAATAAATCCATAATTTTCTCAACATAGAAAATTCTGCATTTAATTCAAAAATTATATAGTCATATTTTCCAAAATGGTTTTTATTAATATTATAGAAAAACTTCTGAATTTCAAACATTTAAAAAAAAATTTGCCTCAAACTTTTGGCTGCAATTCTCAGAAAGCACTTGTGTGTCCCGCAAACGATGCTTGAACTAAAAAATTATCACTGAACAGTTGATCAAGCTAATTTTCAAGTGCGGGAACTTGTTAAACATTTAGTGTGGTATATTTTTAAAGCTGTCTTATTTTGAGGGCTGACATTACATAACACGCCCATTCAATCTTTTCCTAGCAGAGGCACGCGAACAAATTTACGAAGGGTGAAAAAACAATGTGAAATATTCGTGCTTGAGACTTTTCGGTCGCACTGCAACAATTTCTGTCACGGCGGTTCTGCTTGTGGCGAATCGTGCTCTGTGGTCTGCGAGCTGCTGGACCGCACGCTGCTGATTCATCGACCACCAATCAATGGAGCGCCGACTGCGCCCCTTGAATTTCATCGACTCTGTCACGCGGAAAAGGCCAGAAGACACTTTTCACGCCTTGCACACACATTGATTCAATTTTATGAAAGTTTGAAATTCAAAACTTACATTTTACTTGAAAATTTTCTACAATTTCAATTAATTTTTATAAGAGGGTTGATATCTAAATTAAAGTGTTAAGGGCAACATTTGATCCAACTTAATTAGTAATTTAATTATTTCCCGTTTCAAGTGGTTTCTTTGCGGTTTTAATTCTCAAAAACTATATTATTTTTGTTAAAAAAATTTTGCATCAGCGATTACATTTTATTAAATTATTATTTACAAAATTAATTTTCCAACTTTGCAAAATTTCAATTGTAATATATCAGCAATTCGGTTGCTAAGAAATCTCCATATAAATTATTTTCACCACTTCAAAGCCTCATTGAGAGCCATCGAGAGGTTTCACTGAGGAACCAGATCAAGTCATTCTCTTTGATTGTATTTAGTTTTCAACCATAAGTGGGTCCTTATGGAGTTTCTCATCTCCAAGCAAGATAAAAAACTGGTTGTTCTCTCTGTGTGTCTAATTTGAATCCAAGTCTATTCGCACGCAAAAAGGCCTTGATGGCCTATTAGGTCGCATAAATCACTGCAGCGCGGCACGGCAGCACCCAAGCAACGCGTTTAATAAGATTTTATCTCTATTGGCGAAAATAGCGATTTGCTCTTAAAATATGGCCGCGCGGAGAGAAATTTAAATATATACGTTTATCGGCCATTGCCAGCAGCACGTAGAAGGGTTTCTTCTGCACCACGTGCTAAAATTATATGATTTTGTCCGCATCGGAAGAACAGGTTGACAATTAGCTTCGTCTGCGGAAAGTCCGAAAAGAAGGAATAATTAAAAGCGAGCGATGGATTGGCTCGATAAATCTAACGTGTGTCCCAGATTTGCAGCAGCGTTTGGGTGGAGTCCGCGGCGCGGCGTCTGTCTGCCTGCGTGTGGCATCACGCGACCTTCCCGAACATAAAATTTTGCATTTTATGGCTGCATTAAGAAACCCTTTCCCCCCCGCCGTAAATCAAACGGCCTCTCTTGTTCCTGCTCGCGCACATTATTATTCAAATCGCACAGTGATTCACTTATTCTTTCGGTGTGGGCACCACCCTAGCTGCAGCAGCCAGGTCACCCGCGACCGATGGAAATTCAATACACACGATAAGGCACAACCGGCGCGCGCTGCACACGCGGCCACCGTTTCGCTCCCAGGCGGGGTCCGTTTCGCAAAGTGCTCGTGATTTATCGCTTTCTTACATTGCAACAATAAATTATTTTGAGGAATCTGTCTTTTTTATTTGTATTGTACGCATGATTCAATAAATTTAGCAAAAAATTCAACGTGATGAATTTTACAGGTTTCTTTTATTATTTCAATTGAATTGGATTAGTTTTAATTGATAAAAAAATAAACATTGAATTTTGTAAACTTTTGTACACTTTTGTATTTTATATATAATTGTAAATAAAATTTGTTTGCAACAAAATAAGTAATATTAAATGTTAAATCTTTAACAAAAACAAAAATTGGGTCCACAAAAACTTTCACGAGCTAAGCAGCTCTGGCAATAAAAATATTTGATATTTTTATCTGCGCAGATAAAAGTGGTGCGAATAAATTTGAGCGGATTTGGCAGCCGGAGACGAGGTACTCGCAATAAATCAAGCCAACTGGAAATATGGATTCTGAGAAAAGCCTAGTTGATTTTAAAAAAACATTCATCGCAAACGCAACGGATCGAGAGGCGCCCGTAAAATTATACCAACACACAGAAAATTTTTAGCATTCTCTCTGTTAAATTTACAAGATTAAACTTGTTAAAATTGCCTCAGGTCCTGAACCTAGTTGATTTCACTAGGTAGTGGTTTGTTAAATGATTTTTTACTATGTTGCCTAGTTAAATTCACTAGGTATTTGAGAGCTAGGTGCGTACTTCATTTACCTTGTACTTTTAACTGAGCGAACCTTGTAAAATTCACTAGGCAAGCACAGAGCTGAATTTTACTAGGTAGGTTTGTTGAATTCACTATCCCATACTAGTTGTTTTTACTGGGTTTTATTTGTTCCTTTTTACTATGTTTGCTTTGTATTTTTTACAAGGTAGGAATGTTCTTGTTGCAAAGAAAAATATGTTGTATTTAGTAGAGATCCATTTTTTATTGCAATTTTTCACATAAGTCACGTAACACATACAACAGGAAATACATTATGTTTATATAGCAAATCAAAAATACATAACTTAACCCTCAAGTAAATCTACTTACAATTAGCACTGAACAAAACGATTAAAAAAATAATAGGTAATAAAAAACTGATTTTTGTACTTATCAACATCTTGTTGCACTTGTTCATCATTTCACTTTCCGTTGTTCAGTGTTCAGTGATGTCCTGATGTCCAGTCTGATGCAGTCAAGTTTGATTCACTTGATTATCTCACATATAATATCACGGCTGTAGTGAGAAATTTGAAATTTCTTGAGACGAGTTTCCTAGATAAATTTAGGCCGCAAGTATAAGTCCAGGTCCTAAAACAAAAATTTAAGGAAACATTTTGTATTATTATCATATTTATAAACAAATTCCGATTTTT